TAATTTGTTATTGTTTGTATATTTAATCAGATATGTTTGTTAGTTATTATCTATATATAATAATAAAATAAAAACAAAATGGATTTGTATGTGTTATGAAACACTTTAAGCAACTGAATTAACTTTTTTTTAATAACAAATGCGATGTATACATGTATTCTTTGTTTGCATACATATAAAAAGAAACCGCCTCCGTGGTCGAAGGGTTAGAGTCGATGACTTTAAACCAGTTACCTCTCTGGCGTGGGTTCGATCCCCGGGAGATGCTTTGGTAGTTTAGCGCGGAGGAAGGTACTCTTGTACTGGTGTAATTCTTCAGGAACAATATATAATTGAAATACTGTTGGAAAAAGGCGTGAAATGAAACAAACAAACAAAACAAATATAAAAAGAAAGTAATCGATTTTTTATGTCTCCTGTTTGAACGAGCAGTCCCGATATCACGAAATCTTACAGACACTGTCCGAGCATTTTTGTGTTTTAAAGCTGTTTTATTGTTGATAATTTGTGGAAAATGACAAACTTAAATAACCACCAAAGATTATTTCGTACTGCTGTCCTGCGAAACTTATCGTTTGACATGAGCACCGATAAAACATATACTTCTATTTGGAAAAAGTAATTTTCAAAATAGCTTTTAGCGATAAAATGCACGGTTCACATTGTAAATGTTTTGTATGAGATGTAAAACAAGTAACAGAAATAGCATTCGAAACACGAGACTATCTGATTTGTACGAGCCCCCGGGTATCAATCAGATTATCGAGTGATTTGATGTTCTTTCTCTTCTGTATAATAACATAACATAACATAACATAACATATAGTTTATTAGCATAATATGTGTTTACATACATACATAGCCATTTACAATGCAAGAAGTACAGACATGAAATTTTTAACAGAAGAACATGATCAATTCAAAAAGGATAAGTATATTGATAACATGTACATTCAGTCAATTTTCAAAAAAAACAATACAAATTATCAACTGTGACTAGATCAGTAAATAAGAAAAATAACTATAAAAATTGCGTTTCTTTGATCATTATATAGTATGATAGAATAAAATACTAAAGAAATCGCCAGTGTATTTAAACATTGTTATTGGTATTTTGTAGTTGAAAGGCAGAATATATGAATTTAGCAACATTGGTAATACTTTTTGAGGATTCGCATGATAGAAGGGTTATGAACTTTTGGATTGATGGCCATCTACAATAATATGGTTTAAAATACTATTTGGTTTTTAGTTCTCTATATTTCGGGCATACTAATAAAAATGATACTCATTTTCAATCATGCGCATATTACATTCTTGGCAAATTCGAAGTCGTCGATCGACATTTGTGTATCTTCCAGTTTCGATAGCTAGTTGATGAGAAGACAATCTAAATTTAGATAATTCTATTTGATATTTTATTTCATTCAAACATTCTAGATATTTTTCAAAATTAAAAGTATGTTTAAATAGACAGTATGAAGATAATCTGTTAGAGTTGTTGATATTAGTGTATCAAGATTGTTTATAAATATCAAGGATTCTCTGTTTGATGAAATAAAAGGGATGACTATATTAGTTTGATTAATCCATATGTCAGCTAATCCTACTTCCTCTAGAATATGTTTTTTCTGAACAGCCCAATTCATGTTGTTATATGTAATATTTTGATTTGCATCATTTGACAACATAAAATAAACCTTTCTTATTAATACATTGGTAGATGTCAATAATTTAATCCAGTATTTAATCATCAATATTTTTCTATATATTTTCATAGGTACTCTTCCAACCTCACCATATAGCCCTTCTAGATTTGTAGATTTTTTTACACCAAGCACCTTACGTAAAAATTTACAATCTATCAACTCAATAGCTTTTGATTCGTGATTTCCCCATATTGGTGCATTATAATTTAGGACTGATGCAACTAGGCTATCGAACAGATTACATTTATCTTTATTGGTTAATTCTTTTTGGTTGAAAATAATGAACAAGTTGTGTAAAGCATATGATGCGTACTTAGCTATCCTGCTTTGCGTTCTGTTCCAAGAACCTTTTTTAAATAGGTGTGTTCCTAAGTATTTGAAGGATTTAACAACCTCTAATTGTTGTTCACATAAGATAAAATTATGTTGTGTATGACGGCCCCTTTCGAAAATCATTATTTTTGTTTTGTCGGTGTTTATTTTTAGGCCCCAAGTATCACAATATGCTTTTAGTTTGTTTATTAAATCTTGAAGTGCATTTTGAGTGTTTGCAAAAAGTACCGAATCATCGGCAAATAGTAAAATGAACAGTTTTAGCTCGTCTAGAGTAAATATTCCTTCGATGTCTGTGTTTAAATTTTCGACGATATCATTTATAAAGTATAAAAACATTAGACTAGAACTTGGGTCTCCTTGTTTGTCCCAAATATGAGATTCGAAGAAGTCTGAGTATTGGTTTCTATATCGAATACATTGTTTAACTACACTATACATAGATTGCATAGCTTTAACAATTTTTGAACTGACATTTTCAGAAATAGGTTTATGCCATAGAAACGTTCTATCTATTTTGTCGAAACATTTTTCATAATCTACAAAAGCTGTGTAAAGTTTTTTGCCACAACTGAATGATTTTGAGATGACTGAGTGTAATAAAAAGATACAATCCGTAGTTGTTCTACCCTTTTGGAAGCCAAATTGATGATCATTTAATTTTTCATTTAATTGCGACCATTTTGTGACTCTATTTAATAATACTTGCGCATATATTTTACCTAGTATATTTATAAGACATATACCCCTATATTTGTTTGGATCATCTATGTTCCCTCCTTTAAAAATTGGTACAATAATTCCCTTGCCCCATGTTTCTGGGTACTGCCCTTTATCAAACAGTCTGTTAAAAAGTGAGTGTAATACTAATGCAATCTTATTATATGAACATTTATAAATTTCAGCGCAAATTTCATCTATCCCCACTACTTTTATTATTATTTTTGTGATGAACAGCAAACTTTATTTTCATCATAGCTTATTTCTCTCCATCCAAATAATCGTCATATATTTTGATCAATTTCAACATTTACCTGGTGTATTTCCGGTACTTCACCGTATAAATTTTGGAAATGATCAAACAAATCATCTATATTTAGATTTTCGGACTCAGTAGGTTTTTTCTTGTATTGCCGTTTAATAATTTTCCAGAATTGCCTAGGTTTTTCTTTGGCCATTCTTTGTAACTCTATTTTTACTTGGTTTTTATATGCATTTTTTGTTTTATTTTTAATCTTGTTATAGTTACTTTTACCACTTAAGAATATATTTTTATTTTCTAAAGTTTTTTTTCGGAGAAACTTATTTCTATCAATTTTATATTGTTTACGTGCATTAAAACATTCGTGATTAAACCATTTTTGTTTATAACAATTTGGTTTTGTTTTATTGTGTAACGTTTTCGTTTTGCCAAACACATCAAAAGAGTGCTTACGTATTATATCAACAAACTCTCTGACAACATTATCTATATTAGTTTCTTCATTTTCAATTGACGATATGACATTTTGTAGATGTTGTTCATCTAGCCTTTTTAAGAAATCATCCATAATTGTAGGATCCCATTTAATATATTGCTTATTTGAAGTAGCATCATACGAGGATGTATTTGAAAATGGTTTAGACATTAAAGTACATTGTAAACCAGAGTTGTCAGAAAATTCGTTCGGTTCAGCTATTTCAAAATATGATATAAGCTTAGAGTCTTGTTTATCGAGCAAAAGGTAATCAACAGTGCTAGAGCCATTTAATGAATGAAACGTATACTCTCCATGCGTATCGAAGTGCAACCGGCCATTACCTATGACCAAAAATGTATTTTTACATAAATCAATAAGACGTCGCCCTTGGGCGTCAATGACGTGGTCACAATTATTACGAGTTGGAATGTCAAAAACATCATCAAAAGTATCAAATTTTTCAAAATTTAGATATCTATTAAAATCCAACAAATCGCTACATGTCGAAGTTCTAGAATTTAGGTCACCTAAAACTAATATTTTACCTCTATGTTTAAATCGTTCTATATCAGATTCAATTTCTTCATAAAAATCAAAATTATCTTGGTCAATAACATTTGAACTTGAAGGTACAATATATGTGTTACAAATCAGTACGTCTTCATCAAAATCAAACAAAGTTTTACATAATTTTATCCATATAATACCATTTTGATGTTGGTGAAACACAGATATTTTATCTTTGAATATGTTTTTATGGTACAATGAAAGTCCACCACTGTATCTCCCTTTGGTAATGTTACGTGTTTTATTTCCATGCAAGTGGACACCTATATACCCTTGTATATCTAAATTAAAATGCACATTTTTATTAAGCCATGTTTCTTGTAGCAAAATGATGTCGTATTGATTAAGGATTTCTAAGAAGTCTGGGTCAATTATTTTTCTAACTAGACCGTTGACATTCCATGATAAAATTTGAATATGTTCTTGACTGTCTTAGTTTTCCACAGTCATCATAAAGGCTGGCGGGTCGATAACCTTGTTGTTCATGTAGACTTTGGTCAGTTTTCCGTTTACGTAAAGCGTACGTTCCTGTTGACGTACCGTTTTGCCGGCCTGTTCGTATCCATCGATAAGGTCACCAAACATCTTTCTGGCATCACGATTAACTTGGGGGCGCTGTACCCCCACTCCTTGTCGGGCAGTCTTAAGTTTCTCCTTGACGTCCTTGTCGAACGATTTTTTGCGGATTGTTTCACGTTCGTCGGGATTTCCGAATTTGGCCACGATGGGTTGCGGTTTCTTGGCTCGATCGGCGCCCAGGCGGTGTACCTTTGGTAAATTAATGGATGTACTGTCAATACTAAGTTTGTCAGAGATCAATTCATTGACAAGAGCGCGGCAATCCTCTACTGGAGCACTGTTGTTTACAAGTGGAGATGGCGTTTCCGCGATTCCATGAAATATAAGATTGTCATTCATTGACCGTGTTTGAAGATCTAACTGCAAATTTTCAAGTTCGAAATTCTGTTTTTCAATATCAGCATTCCATTTCTTAATATTGGACTGTTCATCTTTTAAAAGATTAATGTCGCGCATGTGTTGTTCGACATCCTGATGCAAAAATTTGCACGATGTTTCAATATCATTTACTTGTTTAGTGAGTCCAGAGAGTTCGATTTCTACATCAGACACTTTGATTGTAAGCTGATTGAGGGTAGATTCAACTTTTTGCGAAGATATTTTTAACGCTTTGACCTCTTCTATCAGATCGATGGTCCATGCCGGGGGTTGTGTAGAAGTCGGTGAACCATACATTAATTGTTGTGCAAGTCCTTGCTGTGCCAAGTTCAACAACTTGTTAGGGCTTGGAGAGGACATATTTAAATTACTATATAGAGGTGTTGAGGGTAATGTGTTTTCAAGATCACTCAAAGTAAATAAACTATCATCTAGATTATTGTTTGATTTTATTAACCTGTCAATTCCATACTGATTATACGGTCAATGCACAGAATATATTAATATTCGATAAATGTTCGGTAAATTCCGTGAGATGTGCGCAGTAAGATGTGATTAAATTCATCTTGTTATTTTGAATTAGTTACACTGACCGTTATAGTGCAATAGGGTAAACCACTGGTTTATTGTATCTGAATGTTCAACGTGTTGTAGGATCGAGACAGAGTATGTCCGGTATTTTTTTTATTCATAACTATTTTCAACATGTTTTTTAAGTTCTGGTTGTTCCGTTTTTAATATGTTTTACACCTTTTTGTAAATACTATACATTTGTATATAACAATGTTTAAGAATTAAAACTGAAAATTCATTCCGATTAAAATCAATAAATGTAATTATACAATATAAAATGTGACAATTCAGTGTTTCTAACTTGGTTCACATCCGTGTTTACAAATTGCTAACGCTTGACCATTTTCATTAAAACATACTTAAAGATAAAGAAAGAATAAGTCTAAAAAGAATGTCAGAAAAGGGGATCGAACATCGGACCCCTCATGCATTAGGTAATCACTTAACCCACTGTGCTATTGTGGATGTTACAAGAACCTAAATTAATCTAGTGAGAGTTTTCCAAACGTAAGTGATACACTCCATATTAATTCTCGCAAAATAAAGGGAGACAACCGAAGTGGGACCGAATATGTAAATGAGTGCTTTAATGTATTCATAATTGACAGGTCAATAAAATCAGACTATACACTGCCTTTTGTCTGCACTCGATGTATTGTGTATACACCGCGGTTTCAAATCGCTTGACTGACCATGACATAAACCACATGTACCTCTCAATAATGGTGATTTTCGTTTTTTCTCTTCTTTTTAGATGGAGCACTATTATTTGCATCAATAGGCATTAGAATAAATATTTACATACGTTTTAATCCAAAAATTCCAAGCATAAGCCCAATGGAACCACATTTTAATCCAGATTTATCGACTGCTAAAAATCCATGACCGTACACTATATAATATAGGCAAAAATAAAAAAAAACGTTCCTTGTTGTCACAAGATGACACCCCAGAATCTAAGTGTCAATTGAACGAGCATCTGAATATGATATTTTTATCGATATCTCTTTCTCTCACATCACATTATGTAAACTCTATAAAATGTTAGCCAGCTGCACTCCAGTTAATTACTGTCCATGTACATGTATACGATTGAACTACAAAAAGGTCCTCAAACTATGAAACAACTTTGGGATAAACCAGTCACTGGTAAGTTTCAATGTCAATGTCGGTAAAACGTCTAAATAGATCAGTGAACGTCGGTTACGTGACACAGTTATTGTATCTTTATTGGTCACTATAACATTGAGATATATTCGGCATTTTTGTGCAGAAAAAGGCGTCTGTAATAACACAAATTAAATGCCATTTGACAAAATAATATAACGTTTAGTTATACTATATAATTATGTTAAAGTTAAAACCATATATTATATATAATCAATTTATAGTGAATTGTTTTTATTTTCCAATAAGATGTATATGTATTGACATTCCCTACATATAGGTAAAATGAAATCATGAAGTCCCAGTATGCTTCAGAACTGCTATTGATATTATTTCTTAATAACTTTTCTTGTTACAGTTTCCACAAAAATTCTTATAAGTTATAGTAAAAAACTACATGTGCTCTCTTTACTCTGTTGGCAATTGGTATAATTATAGTGAATTTTATGGAAGTTAAATACCATTTTGTTTACATTTTGTTACCTTTTTAACAAATAAATACATGACCAGGGTTACTTTTCTCAGTAATATAACATCTAACATGCTTTCAAGCCATTACTTAAACATTATTAAAACAATATTTGACATTGCTAGCGAATTAAATCAAAGCACAGAAGGCGCTGAATTTGTTTTGGTCAGGTGCAGGTTGTGAGATTATATGTATAGTGCCACCAATGCTTTCCAGCGTTTTAATTGTAGTAAATTGGCTATAAGACTTATTGCAACACTGGTTTATTTGACTTAAACAATTTGAAAAAAAATGACTTGCCTTTACTGGGATTTGAACTCCAGACCTCTCGCTTCCTAGGCGAGCGCGAAAACCCTTCAGCCACGGTGAATTTATATGTGAACGGCCTGAAGAAAACCATGTTATTCTAAATTAATTAGGGCTTGTAACGACTTTAACTGTTGTTTAACACAGATGTAAATAATCCTGGAGCTTACTATAAGCATGTTTATTTATAAAGAACCAAAGGGATGCAAGTTCTGTGGTATTTTCTGATCTTTGCAATCTTAATCGTACTGTATATCTGTATGCATTTTCCTGTATAAGTTTATTTTATGTATTATAATTCATTTTGCAAGGCACCAGAGTTTGATACATACGGAATTCTGCATAACTAGAGATGCATCAAAAAATCATTTATGATCATTTTTTACGACAGTCACACTTTATCCTTGCATATCATGGCTATTTCCTTAACAAAGACACTTAAAAAAAGAATTAAAAAAAAAAGTTTCCTCGACTTGGATTTGAACTCCAGACCTCTCACTCCTTAAGCGAGCGCGTTACCCCTGCACCACGGAGAAGTTACACAAATAATGTCTGAATAACATCAAGTCATTTTAGATTTAGAACTTCCATTGCATTTCGGGTTTGTAATCCTTATTAATTTCGAGGTATTTTGTTCAGGATAAACCTGTTGTTTAAAATTGAAGTAAATAATTTAGCGAAAATCTTCTCGCCCAAACAGTCCGACATGTAGAATCTATATATTCCACTACTCGTTTTGTGTAGTAATCGGTAATCGACATCGCTAAAAATAGTATTTTCATTGATAAAATCATATTCATCCGCGTAATTTGTAATTGTGCATTTATTGACAATTCTATTAGCCAACGCTATTTTAAAACTTTGAATGCGTTGTTATTTATTGGATACTTGTAACAAAATAAAAATATTTCTTTCTTTTAAATCGCTAGTTTTAAGCTGTTTTGAGAACTACTTGTTGTTAGGTTTGTTGTGAACTTCTGTGTCAGAGATTGAATGTCCGCTTTGTATTTACTTATTTTCGATCAGAAAATACAATAAAACAATATTAGAAATCTTCGACCATTCGGGAATTATTTTGCTTGAAAATTAATTCGCCTGTCTTTGACCATCTTTACGCAGTGATCTCCCCTGAATTTTTCGGCGTTAGTGTTCATATAAAGGGAAGTAACCGCTCCAAAAAAGTGGACTACTTTCGGCGTTTGCAATTAACAGCATTAGACTCTGAAATTTCGCTACCATTATTTGTTTGGTCTGACGACCCAAACAAATAAAAATGTATTGTTAAGGCATAATGTGTCTTTAAGTTCTTTATGACTTTCTTCATTGGAACGAATAAAAAATCTCATTTTATTATTATTGTTTATAGGCAATTTCTAATGCACAAATACAAATGTATCAAATGTACTTTCCAAGTTGTAGATAATTGCAAACCAAACACTTTTAAAAATAATGAATACTGTATCTAAATTCATTTAAACTTTGTATGATCTTAGGATATAATTATAAATACATTAAGCGAAAACGTTTGAAGTTTATCATATTTTAAGATCATGAAAGTTAAAATGAATTCTATAAAACACGGTTTTCATTCTACTTCTATGTCTATACGTTTTTTATAATTGAAATAAGTAATCGCATACAGTGATTTTAGAGGAAGTAATAGTTTATTAAACAAAACAACAGTTAGTTCACATACGAAATGTTGATTTATTTAACGAAGATGTATTCTGTCGTAATGGTAATAAAGTTATGTTTTGTAATCATGACTGTTTTAAAAAATCATGTTGATGAATAATTGTGACAATGAAATCTTGTGTGATTGTGAACTATTTTGTAAAATGACATTTTAGCAGATTATATTTTGTGGAAAAAAAATAAATAGAATAAACAATTGAGTACTTTATAGTAATTAAGATTTTATTTGACATTTTTTGGTAAATTGTACTTTGTCATCTTTGGTGCTACAAGAAAGTTTTAAAATAGACATTCGTTATAGACAGACAGACGGACAGACAGACAATTTAATTTAATTAAATAAGACTCATGATGAGATCATAACAGCATGTTTTCAAGATAACGAAAAGTGCTTATGTTAATGTACAAACTATTATCACAATATAAATATGACAGGAGAAGGTCATAATAACAACTTAATAATAGAACGTAGAATAATGAAAATATTAATTTATGTTTGTGTTTCGCATACGAATTTTATATCTGTAAAAATTAACTTGTATGATATACATAAAAAGTTGAACAAATTCAAATGAACCCTATTTGTACATCATACCCGGTATTTTACGCTACGTTGACGGTATAGACCGATCTGTGTGTTATAGTTAGTTATAGTTATTCACCCGTTACCGGCGCGACTCCCTTTCCTTTTTT